GTACAATATTACTCCAGTAAAAGTAGAGGTTCCTCCCTTTAGACCTCCACTTGAGGAAAAGTACTAAAGTATTCGCCTTCAAATGTGCTTAAGTATCAAAAGTAAAAGTACTGAAAGATTAATTATGACTGATGTCCTATTATCATTTTTATAACAAGACTCGCTTCATTAACTCATTTTAGGGTGAAAATACTCCAGTGTCTCTCTTGGTAAACCAGTCTTTTAATAGAATGTCATTAATTAGTGACGCTGATCTATTAAAATGATCATAACAAAACACTGAAGGCAAACAGTTTCCATCAGGTAGAACTGAGTGGCTCTGAAATCACTTTTTACAAACAAGCAAAGTTTCAGTTTAAGATTTATTTGAACTTAGTTACAAGTTTAAGTTTAATAAAAACTTTAAACTCAGATTCACAAATGAGTTTCCTTTACTAAACTGCATCTGTAGGTCTCTGTTCATAAACATAAACTAGCCAAAACTAATTTACTATAAAATGAAATAATATTTGTATAAATTCAGAAAAAAGCCACATCAGTCACAACTGCATATGTGTACATATTTCTATATTGTGGTCTATTTACACAAAGGTAGGTTAGTTCATCATTTATGTTGAATAGACTGAAATTTTACACTGCTGCACTGACGTTGAGCCGTGTGCTGCACTGGGTCGGTATGACCAACAGGTCAAAACAAGCTCAAAACAAAGTGCGCTGTGCCCTGATTGGTGGTCTTGCTTCACACTTCTTTTGGTTTGACGTTACGTTTTCATACACTCAAAAGGAACGACAGATTTCTCATAATGTAGCGGAGTAAAAAAGAAGATATGGAGTGAAAAGTAAAAAGTCGCCCAAAATTGAAATACTTCAGTACAGTACAGATACACGAAAAACTACATAAGTACAGAAACAAATTACATTTACTTAGTTACTGTCCACCACTGAACACTGTTAGAGTTTTACATCAGTCCATATATGGAAAATAAGCTGCAAACAGCCCATTTCTGTGATGTCACAAAAAAGAAACATTTGCACACTGAAGTTATAAGGAGTGTTTCAACCTGGACCACTTTTGAATGAGGCTCAACCAATCAGAAAAGAGCTTATTTACATATATTGGTAACAACAGCCTGTTTATTTGTAAGGGATAAAGAGAGGTCAGAAAATGATCATGTAGAAATGAGTTTATTTTTTGTGCATAAAACCCACACAAACGTTGTGAGTGGATTTCTGAGGAAAAAAATGATGAATAAAATGAGTAATATGGGCTCTTTAAATGGCTGAAGCAGTTTAGCTGCGTGTTTTTGGGGTCGTTTGATGAAAATAATGACTTTGGGTGCTTAAAGGAAGACTAATGTGGCTAACAGCATAGCAAAGGCAGCAAAAAGCAAGCTGTGCTAAACGTGCTAACCAGCCCTCATTCGTTATTAGTTCGCTATTCTTCACAGAAACATGACTAAACTGGTTTATAGTAAACTGTGAATTGAAGCTAATGGTTTAGTACAGTTTATACAATCTGCTTAAAGCTAACTGATCCCAGCTAGCCTACATTTGTTGTTAGCCACATTAGCATTTCTTCACAGAAATATAGCTGAACTAGTTTATGGTAAAGCGTCAGTTAAAGCTGATGGTGACTGTTCAGCTTAAATCCCACTCAGCCCACATTTATTATTAGCCACATTAGCATCTCCACAGATATATAAAGGCACAAAACAGGGAAAAGCTAATAGCAACCATGATTTGCTTAGTGCTAATTCATATTAGCGACGTTAGCATTTCTCTACAGTATTGTTATGGCAGAGTTAAGGCTGAGTAGTTAGCATAATGCTGTACAACTTGCTTAACGCTTGAACAAGTACACACATAAACAGAAGGTTCTTCAGAGCTCTTTAGTAAAGGGAATGGTTGTATTTAGAAACATTTCATGCTTAAATGGTTCTTAGATTAATGGAGAATGTGTTTATGGTTCTACGTAGCACACACAAGGGTTCTTCTGTTGCTAAGCTCAGCATTGTAAAAGTTGCAGAACCATTTTTGGTGCTATACTGAATCATATAGAACACATTCTCCATCAGGCTGAAGAACTTTCACCATGCAGAGAACCATTTAAGCAGGCAGTGGTTCTATGTAGAACTCGTACATAGCTTGTACATAGAACCACTCCCTTTACTAAAGAACCCGTGAAGAACCATCTTTAAATATAGCTTATGTTCATTATAGTTACTTGAGCATTTCCTCACAGATATCACAGGTCCTGTGGCTGGTTTCAGTGTCTATGTTCTTGTAGAGGATTTTGAGATGTTCTTCATAACAAACTCTGGATAAGATGTGAAATACCGTTACTGTCGTCAAACTCGGCTGAGCAAACCTGAGATTGAGCCTGACCTGATTATATATATTTTCAAATTGTTTGTAAATTTGTTGAAAGATTCCCCCAAAATATGTAATTCCTTTCAGCACAAACATGTCGCTGCTATTGGAACAAAACCTTGTATCCTTGTGAGGTTTTGCTACGACAGTAGTGATATATAGTGGTGTGTGTTGACATTATTAAATTATTGAAATGAATGTAAGATGAAGCTTTTTCAGTGCACATGCAAGATTAATGCAAGATTCATCTTTCCTCAGGTTCTGTGTTGGGTCACTAAGCAGGTGTCCGTGAAATGAATGTTCAGACGTGTTTATTATTTTGCTCATATTTTATTTCTATAAAGAGAACTAAAGTGCATTTCAGTCAGCTGTGCTGTCAAAACGAGTTTCACAGACAAACAAGTAATAAAACAAACAAAAAACAGAACACTCCCGGTTTATCAGAGGTAATGAAGACATTTTACAGTTAAAATAATCTAACTACAGTAAATGATTTTATATCAGTTTATAATTAAACATGTACAGCATGCTTATTGACAAATAAATGCTTTTTTAACAAAGACAATGGCTCTTTTTTCTGTTTAGATGATCACAGACAGGATGAACACTGTTAGTTTAAAACTCACTCAGTCATGCAGATACAATGATTTTAAAAAAGCCTCTCACACCAAAACAAACACTGTTTATCTCAAATAACACACACACACACACACACACACACTCTTCAGACCACCACGCCCTTCACCCAGCCGCTCTTCATCCGCTCCTTCTTCCTCCGCTCCTGATACTCCGACACCTTCTTACGGAAGAAACCTGAATCAAAACAAAAATAAAGATAAATCAGAGTCCGCAGCAAATATCTGATTAAGTGGTCATGTTAGATCAGATTAAGGTCTATAAATCTGATAAAGAGGCTGGATTTGAGTCAGTAATGGGGTTTTTCAGTGTAAACTCTCACTCTGATTTCTTTCGTTTCTCTCAGTCTGAGTATGTGTAGAATCAGAGCGCCGTCCCGGAAACAGTGAGCAGCGTTTAACGCAGCACCCGCGAGACCAACACAGCACATTTGGAGCGACGCTGAAACCGAATACACGCTCGACCAAATGAAGGATTTAAATATTCTTCATCTTCTAGATGAAGTTTGTTCATATTTTCAGATAAAGGTGACTCAAAATGTAAAAAAACTGAACCAGTTACTGGCACAATCTGATTTTCTGCAGTTATAAGATTATTAAGTGTAAACACACTGAACCACCGTTCTTTTTTTATTACACATACAGCTGTCCAACTGCTGACCAAACCCATCATAGACTCTGAAAAAAGTACCATTACAAACGTATCACAATAACCAAAATAAATTAGTCTGTTCCAACTCTATTAAATAGAAATGTGTAATGAAGAGGTGTGCTGGTGCTGACCTTCGTGGTTGGGCTGTTTCTCCTCCTCCTGGATGAAGAGGTCGAACATCTGCGTCTGGACGAACTGTTTGACGAAGGCTCGACTGCTTTTGGGCTCCACAGCCTTCAGGAAGCTTTTCTTCTGGAACGTTGCGGCCTTCCCACCTCCAGACTTCTTAACGTGATCCGCAAAGTGACCCACGGTCTTCACGAAAAACGTCAGGAAGGCTTCAGAGATCACTCGGTTCAGCTCCTCTGTGGCTGAGAGACAGAGAGAGAGAGGAACTGTTAGCATTTAGGCTGATTCACACAGACAGATCATCCCCACAGTCAGGCTTTAGGACTCAACTCTGAAATCTGATCTGTTTAGTCTCCATGACAACTTCAGTATGGACTGAATTTAGTTCAGTGTCTATTCCAGAATAACAGTTCCGAACTTCATAATCTCATCATGAACTCCAGATAAGAAAACAGCATCACACAAACATCCTAACTAGACTAAACCTCCTAAATCCTGTCCTAACTTGAGGATGAACCCCAACAGGGTCCTCACTTCTGTTTAAGGTCCGTTTCTATGGTTTTTAGGCAGCTGAGTCAGCAGCATAGTTCACTACCAGCATAATGAGCTCCATTTATTCCTACTGTAAAACGCTGCTTTCACTGTGAGATGATTTTCTTTTCTAACTCTGCGTTTTAAAGATCTCAGACGCTGCAGACTCGATCTCCACCGCCCCTCTGATCACCTTCGTGTGTTAATGTTGATGAGGAAATATTACAGTGATGGTGGTGAATAATGAGGAGACGGAGCTGAACGTGTGTCTGTTTATTAGGAGAAGTAACGTTAGCGCGCTCAGCTAGAGCGTTTGGGGAATGGAGACTGAAACTGGGGAGCGGCGACGCTCTGATAAACAGCAGGGGGCGCTCTCACAGTGTTCACTACTTACAGTTCATCACACTTTAGTTTTGTTTGCCCTTTAATGGCAGCTGTTTTTTGTTGACGTGTTTATGAACAGACATGACACCTTTGTCGACTCTGAACAAGTAGGTGAGGACTTCCTAACTGGAGATAAGATGCTGTAAGATAAGATAAAATCTAAATTAAGATCAGATTTGCTTCTGTAGTACGACTTTGTGAAACATCTAATCTTGTCCTGTCAGATCTGAACTTAAGAGGAAGTTTCCCTAATCCAGCTCCCAACACTAGCAGGTAATAAAGAAGCAATAACCAGGAAC